TCCACACTCCATGCATTGATATGGCTTCTCTCCTGTGTGGATCAAATGGTGGGAATTAAGACTACTGCTACAAGTAAAGGTTTTTCCACACTCCATGCATTGATATAGCGTTTCCCTTGTGTGGATCCTGTTATGGCAGATAAGATTACTACTCCGCCTAAAACTTTTTCCACACTCCATGCATTGATATGGCTTCTCTCCTGTGTGGATCAATTTATGGGAAATAAGACTACTGCTACGAGTAAAGGTCTTGCCACATTCCAAGCACTTATAAGGTCTTTCTCCTTTGTGAATCTTATTATGGGAGGTAAGATGACTACTCTTCCTAAAACCCTTTCCACACTCCATGCATTGATAAGGTTGTTCTCCTTTGTGAATCCTTTCATGTCTTCTAATAGAATGATTATCACAGAAGGTCTTTCCACACTCCCTGCAGATATTTGGCTTCTCTTCTGAATGTGCCTTTTTATGAGAAAAGAGATGATTGGATTGATCGAACCTCTGTCCACACAACATGGATTTATATGGTCTTTCTCCCATATCGATGATTGTATGATAAGGAAGCCAACCGACCCAAGGAAAATCATTTTTAATTCCACTTTGTGGTTGCTTTGTTTCATCCCATTTTGGTTGCATTTGATCTTCAAATTTCCTTTGCCAACCTTTCAAATGGATCTCTTGGCATTCCTGCTTGCAATTCTTCTTCTCTTGCCCATCAAAGCCTTGGAAAAGAAAAAGGGAAATTATGTTTTCATTCCAATAAGATTGGATCACAACCCTGAATTAATCATGCCACAACTTCCTGAAGTGTATTGGACACTGTGTCATACTGGGGCAGCAACATACCCAGCACCTCCCAACTTCAATAAAAGTCTCATCTCCACTTGTCTGCAGAGCAGAATCTTTGAAAGCCAAACAGAATTTCTTGATGGCAATTGCTCCCCACCGTCAACTTAAACTAAAGGCAAACTCGGTACACAAATGGGCAAAATCTCTAAGAAGAGAACATCCTCTCAGGGCTCACCCGGTCTTGGTTGTAGCAGTTCAGGGCCATCAGGAACCCAGTGACAAGGTTAAGGAGGGAACACTGAATCCTGGTAGGCAGAATCTGGCTCAAGAGAGGCCACATCATCAGTACATTCAGCCTCTTCCTCACATTCTTAATGTATGAGTATTATGTAATGAGTATAATGTTTTATGAGCAGGAAGCATTAAAAAAAAACAATTTTCTTTATTTAAAAAGCCAGGCTATACAGTTTTCCAATTTTTCTTACAATAAATTTCCTTCTTTCATAAAATCAGTTTAGTCAAAAGGTTAAGACACCA